AGTGTCAGTCATGTTGCACAACTTTAAGTTCACTGCAGCAAAATACCGTGCCAGTGGCTAAATTCCTTAAAAAAAGTCGCGAAAATAAGAAGAGGTAATTTAACCCTGAACCACCCTACTTGTGATGGAATAATTTGGAAGAATATCACACCTTAAGTTGCGCTGCTTTACCTAGGAAAAAGTGATACCAGAATAGTAGGAAGTTTCCCAGTCATTTTTAGGAATAAGCATTACTATGGGCTGACGATTCAGCTGAATCAATGTCGGCCGTTACTTCAGAGAGGACCACTTTATTCGTTCAAAGAAAGTAACGCAGCTGTTCTAGCATCTAAGGAAAGTTTGAAGAGTGATCGATTTGTAATTAACCAGTGGTAAAGTCTACACCATAGGGTCGCAGACTTGATGCAGTATGATAAGCGTAAACGCTTCTGATGTAATGATAGTAAGGCAGCTTCCTGGCAGGTCCCCACGTAATTGCCTGTGGTGCGGACTGAAGGTGGATACGACTGTTACTGTCGTCCAGCATTTACCTACCTCTCCATAGCACCATTGCCATTTCAATAGATGAGCAAGGCCAATAATCAGTGTGTCTTTAATTTTCTATTAGAATAACTGAAAAAAAGAATCACATTCTAGTGTCTGGTTCATTTTCAACAGTTACTTAAAGCGAGTCTACTCAAGAGTCAGAAGAGCGTTATCAGATTTTCATGTGCTTGCAAGGGGTTTTCCAGCTGAGGCTGACAAAGTGTATCTGCTAGAACAATCGCCCATCTTTCACTGCAGTTTACTCACAAAGTATTGCCTTTCTCATACGAATGCTTCAGAGTCACCAGGACGGTACCCTCCTGTTTTTGATTGTAAAAGCATTCACCATGTCACTCTCTACCATTCCGCTGAGACCATTGAACAACCATAATATTGAGTGTCAAACACCAGTGCAGAGGGCTTTAACACGAGGAAAGTGAATATCGAACGTTACCAGCTTTCGCGATTCAACAAACAATCATCCACTTTTCGGGTAAATAGAACTAAATAGACAACTGGGTTCGGGGATTCGTTGCTTTACGCACTTGCGGAGATTTGTTTTCTATACGTAAACGCCAATAAAGCAGTACTAGATCTTGCACCTGTATATGAAGATCGGTTTAGTTCTGTTTACGTTGCCGAGATAATTTAACAGAATATTTCACGTAGCTAGTTTGCTTACGTGCTTGTCTTAGTAAACTGAACTATAGTCACAAGCGGCAAGACGTGTCTCCCTAACGTTACATTGGGTACAACATTCCACCTGCAAACTTGCTACCTGCTAAGCTACTATTCAGGGAAATGAAGCTGTTGAGAATCCGTATATAGTAACAGATGCATACTAAAAATATAAACCATACAAATCATAATAGGGAAAACACAGATCTATCAATCGTACTCTCTTATCGTTGGATCATATTGGCAGATCGGCTTGGATCCTGGATTAAGTAGCAAGTTGTGTGGTGTAGTGTTCTTTTGCGCATTTTCCAATGAACTTGCACATCTTCAGTAAAATGCGATTGTATCAACAAACTCATAGTGATAGAGAATGATTAATACACCGTGAAATATAAATATAAAAACTTTGTGCACCCTAGAAATTTGGTTTTGGCGTAATATTTATAAATACTGCGAAAAGTCAATGGACCTAGTAACGAAATACCGTAAGAGAACTGGTCTTATAAGAGTTCTTTAAACATAACATTTGGTGCTGTTTGCTATAGAAAGATTTCTCTGAATCATCATCTTCCTCCTGTAATGCAAACCCGGCGAACTTCGCGGTGATACTGAAACATACGGTGCATATTTTACACATAGTTTATGCTGCAATCGTCTATGCCTGACAAAACTGAACTGCGGCTATAGTTCATGCTGTCATGTATATAGCATGTTGATGTTCTCATACGTTGACGTTTTGGACGACATTACGACACGCAATCCCGATGTGGACAGTACTCCACACACACAAAGAACTCTCAATCAGTTCCGTCAATTTGACTGTATCAGATGCAAATAGTTGTGTTGCGCCCAAGCTGTCCCCTTCCAACATGTCAACTTTCAGCCTCACGTGTCTAGTCGACTGAGTGATTTTACCCACGTGGTAACCATCACATTTATTGCAAGCGAAGTCTAATGTATGTTGCTTCACTAGCTCGGCTTGCAGTCCATCTTCGTCAATTTGATTTATGCAGTCATGTAACGCAATTTTCCACCAAGCTTATCAGAATTCGAACAGAATGCACGCGTGTTGTGACAGACGGGTCCTCCAACTGTGTTTGCTCGAATGTTGATTGTTCCCTTGCGATGTGACTGTTTTAATATAACACCCAGTGACATCATGACTAAAATGTTAGAACTAGAAATGTAAATATTTTCTTCATTTTTGGGGCTTCAATGTAATGCACCAGTTATCCATTTTACTGCGTCTGTAAATCATTTGTGCTCTGCCACTAAGTGCAAACGCGTTGGCACTGGGCTAGTATCCCACATCAAAAGCGTTTCATTGGAACTAATTGGTCATACACTTATCTTACTGATAGCACCTACGTGGATACCTAGAGTTTAACCCCTTTCTTGTCTTACTGGTTAATCTCTTGGATGGAGATGTAGAGTCTTGATAACCTCAACTGTTCGGTTCAGAAGAACATAGAAAGTCGATACATATGATTGGTTCTCATTGCTACTCTTTAAAATAAGCAAAACATCTTAACTACCCACAACGCATTGAGTCACAGATTCACCTAATCTAGTAATTCAGAACATGAGTTGCTACCCTGGCCCAGAAGGTGATTGTAATTGGCTGGATGAAATAGGAGCCTGAACAAGTACCAGATAAAATGACACCTCAGAACGGTCTTCGGACAGAACAATCCTACAACTTGTCCTTCCGAAGTGGACAATGATGGAGAAGATGCGGCAAGTAAAATTTTGTTAACCGCTCAATTCCACCGCACAGTCAAGCAATTCGAGTTTATCAAAAGCTCGGTTACGACCACGACCTATCCGTGAACGTTTAGACAACAACACACGTCAGATGCTATTGTTAAGCTCAATTACCAAACGACGTTTCTCCGTATTCTACTGGCATTCACATAAGAATGCTAAAATATTGGCCTACAAGTTGCAGCTCTCCACTCTGAACTCTCGGTTACAACTCACTTTTCGTGTGCAGTTCTTAATTTGCGAGAATATGCATCTCATGAATTAGATGATATAGAGGGGTTTGTGCAAATCGCCATTTTGGACTATGTTATGCATGCCTTTCTGCATGACGTATGTGTCATATGGATTCAAGGAGGCGGCCTATAATTGTGCGACCATATTTAGCTTTTCCCAAGCCTTACATCAACGATCACTGCACCCCGTGTATTGCTGTATACTTACACTCGATTTTAGTTTACGCTAAAGTTATTTATCAAAGCATTATTCGACTTCATTGTATTAAACCCCACCATCCTACGGGATGTGTCAAGCACTTACTTTTATCCTACGCTACATCATTTTTCACAGTTTATTCTTCACTGTCTTTCAAACTTGTAGAGGTTACATAAATGTTTCAGAAAGTTGCGCGCTTTGTTAAATGTACCGGTTGAAAACCCCACCTAGGGCTTGCCGAATTTGGTGCGTCAGATCAAGCGATCATCATCTTTAGCGTTTACATATCTAAGTATGCGTTGTCCCAACTGCATGGGTCAATTGCAGGTATACCCAGATTACTTTTCGGTGTGTATCCCGAATAAAGCCACTTAGGCGCTCGAAATAAAAATTGCATAAAAAGTATATTCACTGTAAACTGGAGGTACTTCAGAGCAAATCAGACCGGATACAGTTTACTCCCCGCCTGAAGTCAGCAAATCATTATCGAGACAAAGCGCAACAACTTTGAGTTGAGTCATTCGCTATGATGCGGTTTGGCTACTAGCTTTTCTAAGATCATCATATTGAGGACAGAAAGATTCCCTGCATTCCAGAACGTAACCGCTATTCTATTTCTTTGATGCAAACAGCTAGAGTGAAGCACGAACTTTGAAGATTTGTTGTGGACATTTCGTGGTCGTCCAACTGTATATGATGTGATCTACACATCACATATCACATCCCACTAAATACACATGCTAGCATAGCTTTTGTTTGTTTTTCAGTTGCTCACAATCCAAAAACGATATCACAATTTAGGGTAAAACCACGACACCGTCACGAACTAAGAAATGTTATGGTAGTACCCTCAGAGCTCATGCTGAGTCTAGGATTAAGTTTGGACTTTACTGCATTAAGGAAAACGTAACACAAGCCGTAAGGCGTAAAATTCTTTCCTTATCCACAGTTCATACTGCTTTGTTTTGGAATCTCCAAAGGTAATTCATATATTCTTCCTGTTCCAATCTTTCAGTTTCGCAATTTTCCATGCATTATCATGCGCACTGTGTACAAACCAACTCATCTACATTCAGTCGGGATCCTTGCATTAGTCGAGATACGCCATACAGGATTTTTGTTTCAGTTGCATCTTCTTATGTCCGCTTTGGCTCACCGCTTTGACACGAGTCCTCAATATGTATAAATTGAGAACAGTTTTGGGTGTTTGTGCATATCTTATCTGTTGTTGTATATTACATGCTAGTGTATTCGCCCAGTCGGCATTCAGTTAACAACCCCATTCTAGATTTATTTTACGGGGTTGGCTAAGTGTGAAAAAATAGATCTCAGTCTAAAAAAGCCTTGTAGCTGGATTTGAAGAGGTTCGTCAGAAATGGCTTAACATCGAGAACATAAAGTTCACTGAAATTAGTTGTCGGTACCCACTAATCTGTAATCATCTGTTGTCAGCGATTAGGCATAAAGATAAATGGACTAGCTACCCTGAAAGTCTTAATCTGCAGGCAATTATGATTCTAGGATTGCAGTTAAAGCTACTTTGGCAATAGTAGAACAGCGATACCGCCTAACTACTCATGTAACATTGGTCACTCACTCACCTCTCAACAGGGTATTCCATTGCGTCCTCCGACTTTGTGATGCCCAAATCGCTCTCCACCAATCCACTAGACTTCTGTCTCCGAAGCGGATATCTCCCTCCCTTCGGTTTTCGAGGACGTCTACGGGAGCAATAATCAGGTGAATTCAGGTTCCTTGTTTCCTGGGACACTAAACCACACATCGTCTGCTGAGGCGGTACAATAAATGCGCTCATGTTGGTTTTCATACGCTGTTGCCCGTCTTCACTATTCTCATCTACGGGACCTACATGTGTTGGCACCGTTTTGGGTCTCTGTGACTGTTGGATGACCTGACGGCTGACAGATTTGCCACGAGGGTGTTTACTGGTAGGGCGAGTTGTGTGCAAGTTTGGGAAGTAATGTGACAAGTGGAAAACCAGCCTTCTGAGCCAGGGGTAACAGAGATGTTCCTCCAACACGATCTTGCTGCGATGAAGTCTTTTGCGGACACCTTCTCTGGAGACATGACAATAACAAAAATTGCGTCTGCCCAGTTTACCATCTTCGTTCTCATTATCCGAGATAACTTGGTTTTCCGTTTGGGCTGCTTCAAAACTGCGAGACGCAAATAGCATTAAAATGAAATTCTTCACATTGGGATAAAGGCACAGTTTGTATCGAAAATTTAAAATTTGGTACAACCAATAATCTCGCTTAGTTAGCCTGGACTCATAGCCATATCGCTTACGAAGTCGAACGAGCTCAAAAATGATGCAGTTCGTATGGATTCAGATGTATTGGTCACATGGATAAAAGCAAATGATTAGCGTGAGCATTGGCAGGTGCATTACAAGCTCATCTTTAAAACAAGAGCACAAGGAAGATTAAAACTTGCCGCTTCGCTATGAGCCTCTTTACTTTCCTTAAATTATTGCAATGTACGATATAGGCACTACGTTTCGATGTACATGCACGTTTTAAAGTCGCCGGTTACCACTGCACTAGGGGTGCTATAAATGTTTCATAGCCAGATTGAACCGATGACGTACCTGTACGGATAGAAATGTTAGATAATAGACTTTATTCCCTTTCTCGAAATGCCGTAATTACGTCAAGCTAGAAAGTTGCATTTGTGGCTCAGGAGAGGAAATGTATTAAAACGGCCAAAAAAGAGAATCCATCGGGTTAGGTCTTAATAGCTTGAAAGTTGTAAAACAATAAATCCACTTTGAGGTTTTGGAGGAAATCAGATATAATGCAAACTGCTTACTTTGATGCCGTGGACTTCTGTTTTAACCCTACACGAAGTAGTGAAGCTTCGGAGCCGTGGACGAAATAAATGACTACTGGCCGTTCGCTTATGGCAGTATAATGCTTTCGAATGGTTACCCATGTGCTTGAGGAAAAAAAAGGTTAGTTTCTTGACTCTGAACTTCTATATTGCCATATCGATGGTAATTAAATTCCCATACAATATATGTGCTTGGCCTTCGTTGACATCATGTAAATAGCATGTGCTTGTACTTTTCCATATGGTCACAAAAAGTAGCCCCATCGAGTTAGTAAGAAGCACTTGGTGCTTTGTTGACTAACCTGGTATGTCCGAGAAATTCTGGAAAATCTGCATTGTCCGTTAGCTCCATTTATACAAGTGATGCGTTCGTATTCAATCAGACGTCTGACTGAAATTGTACGATTCAATAAAGCATGAAGTGTGTTATAAAGATGAAGTGGCTGGTTACATGAGTTCACGGTGCTTGATGTAACTGAATAACCTATAATTTCATCAAACCACTGACAGAAACGTAGTATGTTACAAACACGCACTTTGCACTAGAGCGTGTATCAGAAAGTGTGTGACGTTTATTTCGTCTCCCTGAAGTTACCAAGCCCCTTAATTCACGAATAAGTTAAAATGACGTAACGAAAATCAGTGAAATTAATCCAAACTACAAGTTGATTGAAAAGACCTATGCATTTAATCAAATTTAAATATCCCACTACAATCAGCACTCCGGTCTATCAGGAACAACAAGATTAATCAATTTAGTTTGTGTATGGGACCAAACATCCAGCAAATTATTTCACTTGCCTAGCTAAACTGGATCAATCAACTAGATTTATTTTGAAATCACTAAGATTTAGGCTAAGAAAAGCGAGGATTAAGACCTGGTAAAACTATCGGTGGAAAAAATTTGCAACTAACACGAGCTCAACAACAGAATTTCAGTAAAGTGACTGCTTATTTTCTACTTAGGGTTTCCGTTTGATCATCCGTGGAATCGGATATAGTTGCAGAGCGGTATCCGTGTGTTTGCACTGCAAATAACTGAATGCTTCCCCTACATATAAGGTGTAACAAGGCCCCACAATTGTTCAGTGAGCAAGTCCATTAGTTCAATGAATGTAGTGTCTAGGTTGCTCATCATATTGACGCATGCTTGTGGGGTTGGTGTGTGCAATGCAGAGTCTTTAACTTTGTCGACATTTTTCACATCTCTTTGGCCAGCTAAAATAATTCAATCGTGGAATCCGTTAAAAACGATCGATAACTTCGAATGCTGAGCCAGGAAGATGAATGTAGCACTTTAACTTCGATGTATCTTGTAGAACGCAGACGGAGGCCAAGTTCTTATGTGGAGTCATGCAAATGCCCAACTAATCACATTTTATAGGGACCAAAAATGATTACATCGTTAGTTGAGGCTCACTACGCTGCGTTTCTGCTCCGTCACCGGGTGCAGAACTCATCACATTAACGACTGTAACTATGGACACCCTCTGGATACCAACGGAGATTGTGTTCATGTGTAAGGAGAAGCGAAACACTTAACACATTCACTGAAACTAACATTGACGTGCTATCGTCGCAAATGTGTGAAACACATGTCAAGCGGTAGACTGATTTCCTAGACCGAACAAATTGTTCATGTGCATGAAATGCCTCGCGACTCAATTAGCCAAATTTGATGTTTGAATAAAAAGTTTACAAAATATGTTCCAATTCTCCTACTGGATTTCAGCGTAACGTTTGCACTAGTATATTGGCTGGTAGTATTATTAAAATACGCAGACACCATAATGTCGTTTGTATCGGCTCCAGGAAAACAAAGCACAAGCCTTGGCGGTTTTCCTATCAACCTTACTTTTTCTTGGACAGCCTCTACTGTAGCTTACCCGATGCAAGTGTTTAAGTAAACCCCGCTAAATTAATGACCGTCCGGGTAACCAAACAGTAACATGCAACATGTATAAGGTTCCAATCTTTAGTGTTTCATGCCCGCATGAAATTCTCAGGTTCGACTACAAAGTCATAGAGGACGGTCAGCATTTATTCTCAATGAAGTATTATCAAAACTAAGCATGAAGGGGAACTACTGTTAAGTTCCATAGTGAGCTCAATAGAACGACAGCAACTACGCCAGTGACTTAGGTGTTCTTTACTGTTCTGTAAAGCACCCTTCAGCTGTTAAGTTAAAAAGCGACTATAGGCCAAGAGGCCAAGCGAATTAAATCGTTATGTAATTTAATGAAGCAATGTGGTTAATAAACAGTATCGAAGTTCCTATATGAAGACGAACTCAATCAACACATGTCTGAATGCTTTACATCACTTTAAAAGGTTGCAGCTTTATACACCAATGAAAGCCGGTTTGAAACCACCGTATATTACTGAGGCTGATGTTGCATTCTTGATGCTTCCTCACCGCAGTTGGGCTAAACCAACTTACCCTTAAAGTAGGTCTTTTTAAGCTGGCCAAGTTTTATTCCACTTTATTTGGTTTGTTCTGCTTACCTGAATACTCTTCCATTAACTGGCCAAGTTGCTTACATTAAATGCGCTTATCTTCGGTAACTTTGTTGCGTTTGTAGCATTTTTAAGTAACTTGTGGACATTTTTTGCTTATCGCGGATTCATTGGTAACCAACTTACTTCATATGCTAATTTAGCGAATAGTCATGCCACCGTATCTGTATGCATTATTGGATTTGTTTTATTTCATTTTGTCGTTTCAAGTGATTGGCGGTTGCTTTATATCCCCGGTGTGGCTGCGCTTGATGTGCATGTTGACAAGGTGCCTACCTGTCTATTACCCACTACCTCGTTCACACTGGCTCCAGGAGACAGTTGGTCGTCGCTGGAGGGGACGGGATGTACGATCCTTGTGGCCGTGTAGGCTCGAAGTGTGGTTTCATGCACGCAGTGTGGAGCGGAGTACGGTCCAGCCACCGCCTTGCGTTCGCTTGATTCCCAAATACAGTGTGATTGTGTTTGCCTGTGTAGGAGTGTGGGCCGGCTCCTTTGATGAAACGTGGCTCCCATCCGCATGCCTCCCGGTCTTATTCCTCGGGGTTTCCACTGGATATGGGCTGTGTGGTTGGAGGTGTGGGTGGTGCAGCGCAAGCCACCCATGCTCCCTCTGTAGACGCAGACGTCCTGTGGCTAGCTACAGTGACAGGCAAATCATAAACCGGATGCCGCCAACTCCATAAGTCGATCAGTTTATAAGCCGACAGCATGACTTTGTTTCATCAAATTTGCCCAAAATCTAAGTCAGTATATTAGCCGACCCCTGACGAATCATCAAAACGGGAACAGAACTTAGTTATGATTTTAACTTCATCACTACGTGTTCTCATTTGAGTGCGTTCAAGAGAATGCTGCTATACTATTGGCCAGTTCTGGCGACCTGTGTTATGATCCCAATTATTGGGGCTTAGAGCCGTCAGAACAAAGATTTGAACAGCATTGGGTGTCAAATCACACGAAACAGATAAGACAGCCGACCATATGGGTAAGGTGAAAGGGTATGTCAGACAACGCCTCGCATAGTCGGGTGCCTCATGCATTTGAATCACAGTGGAGCAGCAGGTGAGCGAGAAGTTTACGATCAGTGGTGTGGGACAATGCTGTACTTTTAAGGCACCAGAGTGACTAGCATGGTATAATGTATAAGCGCTGTGATTCGCTAACCAGATTAGCACCAACGCGAAGTCAAATTTGAAATATATCCAGAATATTTGTCACAAACATAATGTGTTTAACTATGGCACTTCAAATCCCTACCTGGGACACCACCTGTCATTAGCGAGTGGTGCTAAGGAAAGATAGGGACATGGGTGTGCAATGAAATTCTTGGTGGATTTTGCGTGTGATTTTTTAAACTTGCGCATGACTTTTGCATAAGCCGACTCTCTCATGAAAGCCATTGAAAACTGACCGATATTCCTCGGCTTATACACGGTAAGATAAGGTACATATGTCTAAATAAAAATTCTGTGGTCATCATAAGGATGTGAAATAACTGCGGATATCATAACGGGTAATATTTTGTTTACGTAATTGTAGTGCTCTAAATATTTGTATTTTTTAAGCATTGAATTCCCGTTTCGCATTCTACTGGAGCTTAAGATTCGTTTTTTCCACTGGAGTTGGTACACTTAAGTTGAAGATCACATTACGATTCAAGTAGAATGCTCATTTGTTACGTTACGTTTCGAAAGATAAACAAAACACGAAGCTTTGAGCAAACAATTGTTTTCGATTACTTCTTCATCAGGCTCATACAGTAATATACATTATGTTAACATCTGCTGAAATCGTTAGTGTAACAAAGAAACAATTGATTAGACAATTTAACTTGTGATCGTGATGGCCTTCATCTGATCACGGGACTGAGGTCAGGTGAATTTGCGGAGTACCATTACTTCCTTCACGGCTGGTGGTCGGCCAGGGAAGTTGTAATGTTTGTATTAGTTTCTTCTGAACACACAAGTTCGGATTTGTTAGACGTATGCATATTGCCTCAGCGGTGGCGAGTATGCTTGCTCTTAGACGATGATTTTGTCTTGATGGTATTTTGTAGAGAATTTGAAAGGCTGTTCGTTTCTCTATCTGGTGACCTGTGTTTACAGGAAGCCATATTGGACGGGACAATACATGAACTTTCATAGTTTCGCCCCACTCAGCCAAAAAAGAACGCTGGTACGAACGCTAACCGATCGGGCATATAAAATCTGCAGCGAAGATACCATAAAAGCCGAACTCGCACGAACCAAAGAGGCGCTTCCCGAAAATGGATATCCGGAGCGATTTATCGAGACCCATATGAAGCGATGCCTACCAAAAGTATCAAAACAAATCGTTGAAAAGAAACAGCTTTACTTGACACTTCCATTCAAAGGAAATAGTGCGGCTGAAACATGCACACGCCGACTACAGCAAAGCTGCAAAAAGACCTTTAATGCGGCTCAACTGAATGTGATTTTCACGAGCAAACCTTTACTAGTTCCGAGATTCAAAGACTGAGTGTCTGATCATCTCCAATCGATCTTAATCTACCGGTTCACCTGCCCGTGCGGGGCTAGGTACGTTGGACGGACGACCAGGCATCTAGGTAAGAGAATTAAGGAACACCTGCCAGGTTGGCTCTACACGCGCGAGAATAGAACAAACTACAGTGCGATTACAAACCATCTAATAAACACAGGTCACCAGATAGAGAAACGAACAGCCTTTCAAATTCTCTACAAAATACCATCAAGACAAAATCATCGTCTAAGAGCAAGCATACTCGCCACCGCTGAGGCAATATGCATACGTCTAACAAATCCGAACTTGTGTGTTCAGAAGAAACTAATA